AAAGAGGTAATCACTTCAACATGTCATGAGGTTCTGGGTCAGAAGAATCACCATCACAAGGAATGGATAACTGTTGATACACTGGAAAAGATTTAAGAAAGGAGGAGCAAGAAAACAGCAATCAATACCAGCCGAACAAGTGCAGAAAAGCCAAGGCACAAGCTGAATACACAGAAGTAAACAAATAAGTGAAGAGAAGCATCAGAACCGACAAACGTAAATATGTTGAAGATTTAGCAACGACGGCGGAAAAGGCTGCAAGAGAAGGAAACATGGAACAAATGTACGACACAACAAAGAAACTGTCTGAAAATCATCGTAAACCAGAACGACCGGTGAAAAGCAAGGAAGGCAAGGTAATCACCAACATTGAAGAACAACGAAACAGGTGGGTAGGACACTTCAAAGAACTTTTAAATCGACCAGCCCCACTGAATCCACCCAATATCGAAGCAGCACCCACGGACCACCAAATCAATGTTGGCCCACCAAGAATTGAAGAAATCAGCATGGCCGTCAGACAACTCAAGGGTGGCAATGGCAGCAGAAAAGGACAACATTCCAACAAAGGCACTGAAAGCAAACGTATCAGTAACTGCAATGATACTCCATATTGTCCTCAATAAGATTTTGGATGAGGAACAAGTACCAAGAAACTGGAAAGAAAGACCAAAGAAAGGCGATCTCAGCAACTGTGATAACTACAGGGGCATCACTCTTCTCCCGATACCGGGAAAAGTCTTCAAGAGGGTATTGTTAAACAGGATGAAGGACTGCGTAGACGCCCAACTTCGTGACCAGCAGGCAGGATTCCGTAAGGATAGATCGTGTACAGACCAAATCGCAACTCTACGGATCACTGTGGAAATATCAGTTCAATGGAATTAATCGCTCTACATCAACCTCATGGACTACGAAAAAGCATTTGACAGCGTGGACATAACAACACTATGGAAGCTTCTTAGACACTGCGGTGTACTTCAGAAGATAGTCAATATCATACAAAATTCATACGATGGATTAAACTTCAAAATCGTGCATGGAGGACAATTGAAAAAGTCGTTCGAAGTGAAGACCGGTGTTAGGCAAGGTTGCTTACTCTCACCCTTTCTTTTTCTCCTGATGATTGACTGGATCATGAATACGTCAACATCTGAAGGGAAGCACGGGATACAGTGGACAACAAGGATGCAGCTGGACGATCTAAACTTTGCAGATGGTCTAGTTCTTCTATCGCACACGCAACAATAAATGCAAGGGAGGACGACAAGTGTAGCAGCAGCCTCAGCAGCAGTAGGTCTCAACGTACACAAAGGGAAAAGCAAGATTCTCCGATACAACACAGCATGCACCAATCAAATCACACTTGACGGAGAAGATTTTGAAGATGTGAAAATCTTTACTTAGTTGGGCAGCATTGTTGGTGAACACGGTGGATGCTATGCAAATATGAAAGCGCGGATCGGAAAAGCAAGCCCAGCATATTTACAAGTGAAGAACAAATGAAACTCAAAACAACTCAACCAACACCAAAGTCAGAATTTTCAATACAAATGTCAAGACTTAGGGTCTTAGGGTCATTACAACCCTACTAGCTGTAAATAAATCCCCAAGATAAAAAACTCTGTAAGTTTTCGACATTGGATGTTGACCACATTAGTTTAAATGGACTCACTTAGCTGAAGGTGCTCGGTCATGCATCCTCACTAGGTCCCGAGTAGGAACGCCTTGCTCAACAACCCCTGCAATAGCTAGCCAGATTAGATCAGACGATCCTCAATATATTGATAGTCTATCAACTATATCTTCGAACCTCCTCACTTCTGTCTCTTGATTTCAATTGGTGAGTACGATTGATAATAGAAGGTGTTGCTGGTTAAAGCATTGTCAAACTCCAACTACTTGTGGCATCTTTACTGACAAAAGCTTGATATTTCGTGCATCGATGTAGATATCATCAAGCATTTGTGACCAAATGCCAATATTGAGATAAATCACTCAGAATTTATAAATGACAATCGAGATTACTTGATTACAGTGGTCTAACAAATAAGATGGACTACAGAAGTTGTATAAGCAAATCATATTGAATAATCTTATACATTCTTTCAACTCCCCTAATATACTAAACCATACTGACTGACGCATAAACTCGAATTCATTCAAATTTCACAAAAGAGATTTTGTGCATATTGTAATGATCATTGATAGTTCTTCCAATTTAACACAGTATGCATTAGGCATTTCACCATGGATAAGAGAATGGTCAACAAATGACTTGACCAGTAATAGTAATATAATATACCATTGTGGGCCAGGGTAATTTTACATTGGTTTTCAGGAGAACCAGACACCATCCGGACCTTCACGTAAAAACCCAAACAGTACAGCTCAACCCCGTTTAGCAGGGGAACCATACACCGTACAGGCTTTAACGCTACAATCTGAATAGTACAGCTCAATCCTGTGGCGCAACCACACAGGTACCAATAACCCTGGTGGACCATTCGCACCATTCATATACACATTAACATCACATGTATAGTTATTCCGATCAATGATCGCGTGAATCAATTATGCACAGCATGAACAGGCCAAAGTTGACCTATTCCGCTTACACGGCGGCATGCCTAACAATGTCCCAATGACAATGGCCCTCGGGAACACTGAAAAGCAACCACCAGTATGAATGAAATAAGTTAACCAGCAAACCAATTTTTGTATGAAGAGTCAGCAAAACTTGCCAAAGCAATGCCGAATTGTCCACAATAACAATGGTGAACCTCTAGCCTCATATGAGACCTTCAGCTCTATATAGCCAAATGACTTGACCAGCTTGTTATAATTCAGTTGTAGAATGGGTAAATCTAATCAAGTTGTTTTATTGGATTTCATATTGAGACATCTACAAATTCATATGATTTATCTAACAGAAACAATCCAGATCGTACATATAATAGAAGTAACTATATTAACCAGTTTAAATGTTGATCTAATCTATCTGTTGATATGCCTGAACTACGATCAGATAGGTTCTGTTTTTGGTTTGAAATAGATTTAACGATGTTTTCCAGTATATAAACAAATAATAATCCATCTGTAGGATCATTTCAGTGATTATTGTTAGATCTATCGAAGCGTTTAGGTCACCAGTCTGAGATACGCGCAAAACCGAAGTTCCAAAACAACGATTTATCTACAATAGCCGGTTCTTCATTGAATAATACACAAAATTTAGTTACAAACCTCAACTTATGAGGTGTCTGGAGCTCTTAAAAGTGTCCCTCAAATAGGAAAATAAAAAGCCTTCCTGTAACAGTAACATGAAGAATAATTATAACATACGATAATACAAAAGACATCTGATATCTGTGTCTATATTTGTCAACAGATTATGAACAACCGAAACTCCAAACCAAGAACAAAAGAATTTGGAAACTGTTGCATTTAAACAAATGCATGAAACTGTGGATAACCGCTGCAGTGATTAAGGTGTAGTAATTAAAATGATAATACAATGATAAGTACAATGAACGTAATAAATATATGTGAACATTTCAGAATATTACACTACAACTTGCGTGACAACATGAGTATAAAAAGTGTTGCGAATACAATTGCTTACTGAATATAAATAAGTAGTACAAGACAATATACAAAAGAGTGGAAAGGGAGTGAGTGAGTGGAACAATGTAAGACAAATTTAACAGTTATAAAATATAAAAACAACTACAACAGCAATGTGGATTTGACAACGGATTCTATACATAGAGAGAAATATGACTTGTGTCACTTTTATGCATAGAGTGTTGGATTGAAAGTATATGGATTACTAATGCCTATGTAATTTATGAATTATTCATTGAATCTCCTTCCAAACTGACAAACAAATGTCTGATTGTATAAATGAGTTTCAATTGATGTATCCATTGGAGCCAGGTATCTCTTCATTGCTTGAGATACGTATCTCGATAAATGGTACGTTTCTTGATAAAAATTGATAGTTATGCCAGACAATAATATGGTTCAAGCGAAAAATGATTAGTAAGTGAATTTGTTTCCGGACTCCATTTTGAGCCCAGCCTTGAATTCACATGAGATCAAATTCATAACCCTCGAGTATTGTCATGAGCATGATACTGTTCAGTTTCTGGTCCAAATGTTGGCGAAATCACCAACCTCATCAAACATCATCGACGAATAATTGTATCAGTTCCTGAGTTTTCCAGTTCATTCTTGGTCGGATTTATTCAGCTGATACATTTAATAACTTTGTCAATTAACATTTTCATTATTCAACTCATTCTTATTGCATTGTACTGTTTATTGATTTGTCACTGAGAATCAGCTAACACTATGTGAATGTAAATCAGGTCATACTATTCTTCATATCTAAAGAGTGAAACTATGTATCGTTATGCAGTAATCAATAGTCGGAAATTTCTCATTTCTGTACTTCTAAATTCCTCACTAATAATCTGCTGAAATCTCAAAAGACTGCACAACGATTAGGTTGAAATTATGATGAAAAGTACAATAGCCGTCTAATTAATCTCCTTTGACTTAAGCACGAGTGACACATCTCACCGTATCGAAGAAATCCAAAGCAAGAAACTTGGATACGTTAGAGCGTACGATCGCTAATTGATATTCATTCAGGCGAAGATGAAGAGTCCATCCGTTTTGTTCGATGTAGTGATGCTCACAGTCAGCGCAATTGATTTTATAGATGATGTTTGAGTTTTCTTTTGTGAATTCATCATTTGGTTTGCTTAGTATTGCTTGTAGTGTTTATGTTGATTTTTGTACAATGCCTATTCTGAAAGGCTTCAACAATCTCATTGGAGATTGTTTATGTGGTCCATCGATAACAGACGAATAAATTACAAACAATTCTCTACCTACAAACAGTTTATTTTATTCACCTAATGATTGTGTAGACTGCTGTTGTATCGGATTGTATACTGAAGAAAAGATGACACTTAAACCATCTATGAACTATGGCTACTACTACTACTACTACTACTACTACTACTACTACTACTACTACTACTACTACTACTACTACTACTACTACTACTACTACTACTACTACTACTACTACTACTACTACTACTACTACTACTACTACTACTACTACTACTACTACTACTACTACTACTACTACTACTACTACTACTACTACTACTACTACTACTACTACTACTACTACTACTACTACTACTACTACTACTACTACTACTACTACTACTACTACTACTACTACTACTACTACTACTACTACTACTACTACTACTACTACTACTACTACTACTACTACTACTACTACTACTACTACTACTACTACTACTACTACTACTACTACTACTACTACTACTACTACTACTACTACTACTACTACTACTACTACTACTACTACTACTACTACTACTACTACTACTACTACTACTACTACTACTACTACTACTACTACTACTACTACTACTACTACTACTACTACTACTACTACTACTACTACTACTACTACTACTACTACTACTACTACTACTACTACTACTACTACTACTACTACTACTACTACTACTACTACTACTACTACTACTACTACTACTACTACTACTACTACTACTACTACTACTACTACTACTACTACTACTACTACTACTACTACTACTACTACTACTACTACTACTACTACTACTACTACTACTACTACTACTACTACTACTACTACTACTACTACTACTACTACTACTACTACTACTACTACTACTACTACTACTACTACTACTACTACTACTACTACTACTACTACTACTACTACTACTACTACTACTACTACTACTACTACTACTACTACTACTACTACTACTACTACTACTACTACTACTACTACTACTACTACTACTACTACTACTACTACTACTACTACTACTACTACTACTACTACTACTACTACTACTACTACTACTACTACTACTACTACTACTACTACTACTACTACTACTACTACTACTACTACTACTACTACTACTACTACTACTACTACTACTACTACTACTACTACTACTACTACTACTACTACTACTACTACTACTACTACTACTACTACTACTACTACTACTACTACTACTACTACTACTACTACTACTACTACTACTACTACTACTACTACTACTACTACTACTACTACTACTACTACTACTACTACTACTACTACTACTACTACTACTACTACTACTACTACTACTACTACTACTACTACTACTACTACTACTACTACTACTACTACTACTACTACTACTACTACTACTACTACTACTACTACTACTACTACTACTACTACTACTACTACTACTACTACTACTACTACTACTACTACTACTACTACTACTACTACTACTACTACTACTACTACTACTACTACTACTACTACTACTACTACTACTACTACTACTACTACTACTACTACTACTACTACTACTACTACTACTACTACTACTACTACTACTACTACTACTACTACTACTACTACTACTACTACTACTACTACTACTACTACTACTACTACTACTACTACTACTACTACTACTACTACTACTACTACTACTACTACTACTACTACTACTACTACTACTACTACTACTACTACTACTACTACTACTACTACTACTACTACTACTACTACTACTACTACTACTACTACTACTACTACTACTACTACTACTACTACTACTACTACTACTACTACTACTACTACTACTACTACTACTACTACTACTACTACTACTACTACTACTACTACTACTACTACTACTACTACTACTACTACTACTACTACTACTACTACTACTACTACTACTACTACTACTACTACTACTACTACTACTACTACTACTACTACTACTACTACTACTACTACTACTACTACTACTACTACTACTACTACTACTACTACTACTACTACTACTACTACTACTACTACTACTACTACTACTACTACTACTACTACTACTACTACTACTACTACTACTACTACTACTACTACTACTACTACTACTACTACTACTACTACTACTACTACTACTACTACTACTACTACTACTACTACTACTACTACTACTACTACTACTACTACTACTACTACTACTACTACTACTACTACTACTACTACTACTACTACTACTACTACTACTACTACTACTACTACTACTACTACTACTACTACTACTACTACTACTACTACTACTACTACTACTACTACTACTACTACTACTACTACTACTACTACTACTACTACTACTACTACTACTACTACTACTACTACTACTACTACTACTACTACTACTACTACTACTACTACTACTACTACTACTACTACTACTACTACTACTACTACTACTACTACTACTACTACTACTACTACTACTACTACTACTACTACTACTACTACTACTACTACTACTACTACTACTACTACTACTACTACTACTACTACTACTACTACTACTACTACTACTACTACTACTACTACTACTACTACTACTACTACTACTACTACTACTACTACTACTACTACTACTACTACTACTACTACTACTACTACTACTACTACTACTACTACTACTACTACTACTACTACTACTACTACTACTACTACTACTACTACTACTACTACTACTACTACTACTACTACTACTACTACTACTACTACTACTACTACTACTACTACTACTACTACTACTACTACTACTACTACTACTACTACTACTACTACTACTACTACTACTACTACTACTACTACTACTACTACTACTACTACTACTACTACTACTACTACTACTACTACTACTACTACTACTACTACTACTACTACTACTACTACTACTACTACTACTACTACTACTACTACTACTACTACTACTACTACTACTACTACTACTACTACTACTACTACTACTACTACTACTACTACTACTACTACTACTACTACTACTACTACTACTACTACTACTACTACTACTACTACTACTACTACTACTACTACTACTACTACTACTACTACTACTACTACTACTACTACTACTACTACTACTACTACTACTACTACTACTACTACTACTACTACTACTACTACTACTACTACTACTACTACTACTACTACTACTACTACTACTACTACTACTACTACTACTACTACTACTACTACTACTACTACTACTACTACTACTACTACTACTACTACTACTACTACTACTACTACTACTACTACTACTACTACTACTACTACTACTACTACTACTACTACTACTACTACTACTACTACTACTACTACTACTACTACTACTACTACTACTACTACTACTACTACTACTACTACTACTACTACTACTACTACTACTACTACTACTACTACTACTACTACTACTACTACTACTACTACTACTACTACTACTACTACTACTACTACTACTACTACTACTACTACTACTACTACTACTACTACTACTACTACTACTACTACTACTACTACTACTACTACTACTACTACTACTACTACTACTACTACTACTACTACTACTACTACTACTACTACTACTACTACTACTACTACTACTACTACTACTACTACTACTACTACTACTACTACTACTACTACTACTACTACTACTACTACTACTACTACTACTACTACTACTACTACTACTACTACTACTACTACTACTACTACTACTACTACTACTACTACTACTACTACTACTACTACTACTACTACTACTACTACTACTACTACTACTACTACTACTACTACTACTACTACTACTACTACTACTACTACTACTACTACTACTACTACTACTACTACTACTACTACTACTACTACTACTACTACTACTACTACTACTACTACTACTACTACTACTACTACTACTACTACTACTACTACTACTACTACTACTACTACTACTACTACTACTACTACTACAATCATACATTTATTTTTGTTGTATAATGATTGAATAAATCGATTTGTATATTCTGTCTTCATTATGAGCATTTGTTGAACCTATCAACTAGACGTTTTATTGTTTCTAATTTGCTGTTATTTGGTTAAAAATCTTTCAAAGACAGGTCATTGAAATGCTGAACGAACTAATCTATTAATCAAGTTACTTAAGACCTGTCAGTAGGTTTTACCCAATCTCAGAGTTGATATTTGATCTGACTGACAAGTACTAAACAGGACGAAATGCCACATCTCACACTTTCCCTACGTAACTTGTGTTATAATGGTTTCGTCGAGACAATCTATGCCAAACAGGACTAATCAAGTTTCAACAAAACGATAGTTCAAACAGAGGTTGGTATTAAAAGTATGATCTCACTGATCGTTACAAAACATTCACTAGCATAACTTATCGACGACATAAAATTGATTGCTATCCACAAAATATTCAATATTATCAGTACATATTGTAATTATCGTCCCATTCCGTTAGTTCGCTAACACTATCATTAACAAGAGCACACTAGACGCTATGCTAACCTAAGTTTCTCCCATCTGAACCTTCCCCTCATTGTTTTCATCATCGATATCATAATCCTGAAAACATCCATTACAAACTTCTATCTTATTATTTGTGAACGAGAAAACACACTATACATATATGTAACTGCTTTCCTGCCTCGTTCATTTAAAACTTCAATGCATTATCCACTTAGATATTGAATTCAGTCAGTTACTGGTTAATGCATAGTTTATTCTGATTTATCGGTGATATTAAGGTTATCCTATCGGGATGATCGTCATCATCAGTATTAATCGACACACTGGGTTCATAGCGAAGCAGACGTCCATTCACAGCAAAGATCCTGATCATATGTGAATGTTTTAATTTCAATAAAACAATTATTTACCCACTTTTTCATGATTCATCTGGTCCCAACACATACCATAGAGTGAATTTGCCAAATGTCAATCAATTCAATTAAACTTGACAGATCGTACGAATGTTTGTTATCGCCTATTCTCGTATATCATCATCGACTTAAATCACGTTAGTCAATAACGGAATTTAGATAAGTAAATTAACGAGAATGGCCTTTGAATACATATATTTTGTATATGAGGTAAATGGAATAGAAGGAAGAGAAGCGATGCAGAGTGGAGATGGCTGTTAAGCCAACTCATTTTTTGTCAAGCGTTACTCAATATTTATACGCAGACAAAATAAAGCTACAGACATGTGATGAGACATGGGATATGATGTGTGCACACATACACACTTATATAAAAACAATCAAGACTGACAAGCGAATAATTGACACGGTCAACAGATGATTCAAGTAGAATGAACAGAATGGAATTTCCAAAAACTAGAATAAGGTATATGGTCTTAAAATAATGACCGACACTACATAGTCCCCTTCAAGAAAATAGCACATTTAAAAAATTTCTGTTTTCGTAAATAACACTGAAGTGATATGAAGTTAACGTTAACAATAAGTAGCCTAAAAAAAACTGTACAACACTCGATAAAGTACCGTGTCACATGAGGGGTGAGTGTATTTTATGAAAATGTCATACTTATGTAAACGAATACATGAATATCGAAAAGGTGCGGACAAAAATGGAAACGTTAACATGCGAATATGAGCAATTTAATGAGCGTACAACAAATTAACATGTACTAATGCTATGACTGTCTGAACGATAAAATAACACGTTTGTATGAATGATTGAAAATATCGTGAAAATAAGTAAACTAGAATACGACAGAAATTGGTCTGTGATGCCGACAAAATAGTGAAATATGTTAAATATATGTTCTGATGAACCGCAGTAGAATAAATAGCATCGACTAGCGATGATTGAATTCGAATTTAAATGCGTAGTTCCCGTTCGTAGAGTAATAATAGTCAAGTCGTGAAATGATATCTGCATCGACGGGTGATATTCGTTGCTGTACTGCAATTGATATTAATCATAATATATGAAGTCAGTGAATGTTGTCGTCTGCGTTATGACAGATGCATTGAGTTATCGTTAAATATGTATTAGTAGAATGACCAGAGGAACAGAATAGTGACTGAGTAGACGAGGTACATATAGTCGTATTCCTTTTTGGTCATGAAGCCTAGAGTGGTTTGTGTGGTTTGAGGGAGATGCGTTCGATCTCGTTTGTTACAAAACCGTATCAAGGCATGTCAAAAATACCAATACATATGATTAGCGATGGCGACGTATGAGACTGACTTGGATGTGACGAACAAGAGTTTATCTTTAAGAGACCAGCTCTAAAGTCTATGTTCTGATATACAGTGCGATAGATATAGAGTAGTAGTTACAGTACTCGAATAACGTTTTTGGTTGATAAATGATGCATCATGCAGTAATGCATGTGGAAGAATAGATAAGATCAATGTTATGGTTTCTAATCAGCTAGTTAGAGGCACCCACAGACATAATAGGAGGCGATTTCGAAATGAAAATGTATGTTATAATAACAGAAAATAATGACTTCGACTAAGTGAATGAATGTTATCTTAGGTCAAAATGACATGGAAAAAATTGGAACGAACTCACTTAAAGCAGGAAAATTTCACGTTTTTGAATAATAATAAAAATATCCCAATGAGTTCTGTATGTCATAACGTGGAGTATTCATAAAATGATAATTCGTTCGGTATGTGATATGATTGTGAAAATGTCATGATTTAATGACAGCACGAAAAAGAATAACAATTCCACATGATATTGGTCATGATATTGGCAATAATGTAATAATAAGCATATAATGATAATTTGAATCGTAATGGAACAATCCGACAAATGGATCAATGAGAATAGTTGATATGAGGACAAAGTATCGATAAGATAATACGACTTGAGCATGTCCGTGTCATGTTGCACAGGCTTTGCGAATTGCGTCAGATTGAAGATTGCTCTGCCTTCGCTGAATTTGTTCGTCGACGGCGAGCTTACCAATTTAGTGGGACCAGTCGTTTAATCGTCATTTAGATCGAACGATGTTGTCGAAATAGCTCTCAACTTTAGTGGCCCGTGGATCTGATTCCAATTAGATCTTACAAATGTTTATTATCAACTTTCCTGGTATACAATCATCGACTTAAATCATGTTAGTCAATAACGGATTTAGATAAGTCAATTAACGAAAATGGCCTTTGAATACATATATTTTGTATGTAAAGTGAATGCGTTAGCACACAGCAAAAAAGACGTGCAAGGGAGATGGCTGGTAAGGCAACTCCCTTTCAAGCCAGGCATTAGTCAATATTTATAGGCAGACAAAATAAACTACAGATATGTGATGAGACATGGGATATGAAGTGTACACACATCTACGTGCTCATATAAAAACAGTCAAGACTGATAAGTAAATAATTAACAAGGTCAAAATATGACTTAAGTAGAATGAATCGATTCAGCTGTCCAAAAGTTAGAATAAGATAGATTATGGGTTTAAAATAATGACTGACACTACATATTCATCTTAATGGTCAGTTTGAATCATCGAATCAGTGGTAAACAACCTTACACTTCAAAATTCTATATAAACCTGACACGTTCTATTCAAATATGACCTACAACTTTGAACAGGAAGATGAGGTGAGTGTTGACTAAACATACGAACTGAAGCTGAAAATTGATACAATGAGATAACGTTGTTTATTCCATCTGAACCATTTTAGACACAACATTTTATCTTCTCAATCGATGTCATATTGATAATTATCGTCTGCCATACGAAGTCCTTCGAATGCTAGGATCTCTGGGAACAACGTGAATGGACGACCTCGGAAAAAGTCATTTTTGAAAATTGTTCAAATCGATATGTAAGTAATCAGTTTGATCGTTATACACATACTCAGTCTGAGCGTTATATGTATTTGCAGAATATCAGTTTTAACCAGCCTCAGCCAGCTGTCAGTATAAGTTTGGTTAAATCCACTGGTCGTTTGGTGAGTTGATTACATTTTTTGATGAAAGTACTTGTCCCTATGTTTACGTCTTTTTAGGATGTTAAACCGAAACTGTCGTTTAAATATTACACTAGTCCCGTCGAACGTTTCAATATTCACCTTTATGGTAAGTCAGTAACTTTCTTTCATCTCAAATTATAACATAATTTTCTTGATCACATTTCTGTCCATGAATCCAAGTTGATTCCATTTCTTTATTGAATTAGTTTTATTCTCCTTGAGACATGCGAAATTTCTTCAGATATCCTTTCTTGTTCAAATTGTGTTGATGGTGTGACGCCTTTTAGCAATCCAGATACAGTTCATGCAATTCATTTAAGTCTTCAATCTATTTCATTCAATGTAAAATAATCAATCATGTTTCATGTTTTCAATTAATAAATACAGGTGACACCCGATAAATATCCTGAATATGAGTTTTCGACGGGACTAAATGAATTGCATGAACTGTATCTGGATTGCTAAAAGGCGTCACACCATCGACACAATTTGAACAAGAAAGGATATCTGAAGAATTTTCGCATGTCTCAAGGAGAATAAAACTAATTCAATAAAGAAATGGAATCAACTTGGATTCATGGACAGAAATGTTATCAAGCAAACTATGTTATAATTTGAGATGAAAGAAAGTTACTGACTTACCATAAAGGTGAATATTGAAACGTTCGACGGGACTAGTGTAATATTTAAACGACAGTTTCGGTTTAACATCCTAAAAAGACGTAAACATAGGGACAAGTACTTTCATCAAAAAATGTAATCAACTCACCAAACGACCAGTGGATTTAACCAAACTTATACTGACAGCTGGCTGAGGCTGGTTAAAACTGATATTCTGCAAATACATATAACGCTCAGACTGAGTATGTGTATAACGATCAAACTGATTACTTACATATCGATTTGAACAATTTTCAAAAATTACTTTTTCCAAGGTCGTCCATTCACGTTGATCACAGAGATCCTGGCATTTGAAGGACTTCGTATGGCAGACGATAATTATCAATATGACATC